TGACCCCCCTTTAAACCCCCCTCCCCCCCCCTTTGACAGCCAAGTTGAACTCTCAAAAAATGAAAAGAGACCGGATTTGGGGTCCTCCGGGAGAGCACAGAAAGGCAAAAAAAAAAAAAAAAAAAAAAAAAAAAAAAAAAAAAAAAAAAAAAAAAAAAAAAAAAAAAAGCCCGGGTACCCCGGGCGTCACGCCCGGCTGCCTGGCCGGGCATGAAAATCCTCCTACTAGATAAATGATCTGTTGTCTATCATATTGCTCTCTGATTGTTGGGTAACCCCCTCTCAAGTATGCTGCATTATTTGCATGAAGGTCAGGTTCCTTTGATGTTGGATCTACTCATGTAGGCATTGCTTGCATAAAGGTAACAGTTCGATAGTGACTCATTTTGCTAACTATGGCAGCAACACTGTTTCCTTTGCTGGATTGATTCATCTCAAGCATGCTTCATCTTCTACAATAGAGGTAAAGTTGCTGCGATTTTGGATCTACTCATCTGGGTGGAACGGGACGTTGTGGTGAACATTCACACACACACACACACACACACACACACACACACACACACACACACACACACACACATGCAATCATTCAGGTGGCAAGCACACGGGGTCTCAGGAATTGTGCACACATACATACTCAGAAATCTCATCAGAATAGAGCAGAAAAAGAATTCAGGACACCAAGGGCCGACCAAGGCAGCTCATATGCATCCATACGGCAAAAAAATTTGTTTGTCAGATCCTACACATACAAGTTTGGACAAAAACTCACGAAATTGTGTGTGTGTGTGTGTGTGTGTGTGTGTGTGTGTGTGTGTGAGAGAGAGAGAGAGAGAGAGAGAGAGAGAGAGAGAGAGAGAGAGAGAGAGAGAGAGAGAGAGAGAGATTCTCACAGGGAGTCCCGCCTTATAATGCTTTCTACTACAACCTCCTCTTCAACTGTATAACTTAGCTATAAACATGGCCTTTGACACACTGTGTGTGTGTGTGTGTGACACTGTGTGCCTTGGTTCTGAGACTATTCCCGCATTGTGAATGATGAGTTAAACTTTTGGTGTGCTCTTATTTGGTGAAACTCGTGATGCAATTCTGCTTTTGGTTCGAGGTCACGACTATCTGGTCTCATGCGTATGATGTTGTTTGATTGCTGAAGTTCGCTATTGCTCATCTTCCTTGCATAAAGCATGCTTGAGATGAATCAATCCATCAAAGTAAACAGTGATGCCACCATAGTTAGCAACATGAGGCACGATAATAGCAACATTCCCTTTATGCAAGCAATATGCATACATGAGTAGATCCAACATGATCATAGGAACAATAGATCAACGCAGCATACTTGAGAGTGGGTAACCCAACAATGCGACAGTTGGCATCATGATAGACAATAGATCAATTATCTCATTTTCTTGACTATACTCACCGTTATTATCGTCGGGAGGCCTCCCTTTTTATTTGTTCTTGCACACGTGTGTGGGTTGTCATACCGGCTATACACTCGAAAAAGCATGACTGTGCCCGACGGTTTAGTCGGACTCTCACCGACTCATCATGTGTGTTGTCATATTCCTGTCTCTTATACACATCTAGATGTGTATAAGAGACAGGCGGAGGAGCGGTCAAGCTATTATGTGTGTGTGTGAGAGAGAGAGAGAGAGAGAGAGAGAGAGAGAGAGAGAGAGAGAGAGAGAGAGAGAGAGAGAGAGAGAGAGAGAGAGAGAGAGAGAGAGAGAGGGATTTTCTCAGTCTCGCCTTATGCTTCCTGCAAGAGAACCCGCTCTTTAACAGTAGTACGTAACTTTAAACATGGCTTCTGATGAATTGCTGCATCTGTAGTCTCTTAGATCTGCCCGTCCATATTATCCATCACGGTATAGATCTGAGCTTTTGGAAAGAGTTTCTTTTTTTTTTGGATGGAACTTCATGGAGCCAGTTGTTGTCAAAAAAAAAAAACAAAGCTGCTAAAGGCGACATGCATGTTGAAGCCCAGTTCGGAGGATGAACGCGGTTACGCGGGAGTCACCGGGCGAAGGGATTGCATACGCCAGTCTCCATAATGTTCCCGCGGTTTTCCAAATCTGGCTACTTTCCTCCCCCAAACATAACGCACCCGGATACTGAGTGTCTACATCGACTCTACAAGCCGCCTTTTTTTTTTTTTTTTTTTTTTTTTTTTTGAAGGCGACGGCCTTGAGATGGGATCAGGATCATCGAACTGACCGGCCCTATAGGTACTCATCTGTTTGCAGTGGAGTTCGAACTCGGGTCCGTGTTTCAACAGTTCAGGCCTGGGGTGAACCAACTGAGGGCGTACCCACACTTAGTCTAGCCTGAGGGCGTACTCACACTTAGTCTAGCTGTATCTCTCTTTTTTTTTTTTTAAGGCCCCTGTGCAAGACCTCTAGCTGTATCTCAAATGTACCTGACCGCATTTCTGGCCGGACCTGGAGGCATCTGACCGGAATTACGTTCGTGTGAGTATGCCCTGAGCTAGGCCAGTCGGTTTCTTTCATTTCCCCATGCAGTCACAATCATCAAGGTGCGTTCTTTTCGGGGGAAGACGATAGTCTTCAAACAGTGAAGGGAACAATCTCCACGTCTCCTCCCCCCCCTCCCAATCCAAAAAAAAAAAAAAAAAAAAAAAGACAAACAAACATCAGCGAGCACCGACAATTCCTTTTTTTCTTTTTTCTTTTTTCTTTTTTCTTTTTTCTTTTTTGATTACCAGGGGGATTCCCGATTCCGCCCGTGGACGGCGAGGCAGCCGCTGTTTTTTTCTGTTTTCCCTTAGAACCTGCTCGGGCCTACTACTCTTCTTCCCCCGAATACAACGTACGGTCATTACAGCTGTATCTAGACTCAAACATGCCTCAAATACAGCTATAATGACCCTTACGTTGTATTGGAGGGAAGAAGGTAGGCAGGGAGGTTGGTATGAGCACCCCCCCCCCCCCCCCCCCCCCCCTCCCCTCTACCCGTAGTAGGGACCTGCAGATGCTCCCTCCTTTATCCTCAAAGATGACATGTGATCGAGTATATACCTTCCCTTTTTTTTTCTTTTTTTTTTTCTTGTGGCATTTCATTTCAAATCCGTTGCAGAGGAAAGAGGCCGGGAAGTCTATGGTGTGCTGATCTCGACCGTCGAGCATGGCCCCAACTGATCGCCACCGTTGATGAAACGAGAGCATCGACATCCCAAAAGACTGACTCAGAAGAGGGGGGAGGAGGCGGAAGA